TTCTCCTCGGGGTGTAAAGGCTCTGTTTCCACAGTGCCCCTGCAAGGCGAGAAGACGCGAGGCCTCTCGTAGATGCAGAGTAACTTCGATGCTTGTGGTAGGCCCGTTGCTTTTTTCTTGATTTGTTTATTGCCTGGTTTACGGAATTATTGCTTTGTTATTTTATTGATTCTTGGCAAAAACTGATTATTGAGCCACCGCGTTGTCCCGTGGAAAATGCATAAAAGGTGCGTGTTTCACGTCCTTCGCCGAAACTCCCTCTTTGCGTGACGGGGCTTTTTTTTACGTATTTACTTATTGGCCGGATGTACTTGACGATGTTGTCTGGCGTGCGGCCACAGGACACATTTGAGAAAAGTCAATGTAAAAGAAGAAACGGCCACTGCACGGCGTTGCATTTTTTGTGTCGTTTGCGGTGCCTCCACGTGATGCTGAAGCGTTTGATGGGGTGTTTATTCTTCTTTTTGCTCCCTGCAGCCAGCCTTGTTTGGTCATGGCGGCAGCAGTGGGACTCTGCGGCTGCGTACTTGTCGCACGTGTCGCAACTCATGCTGTTGCTGCCTCGCTCTGTGTTGGTGGGGGAGTGGGCGAGCGACGGCGTTGGTGGAGTTGCGCCCCAGTGGGAGAAGGAAGGCACCGACCGCACGATTGACGTGGACCCTTGTCCCCCGTGTCTGGGTGCCGCCACCGTACCACTTTATTCGTCCTTCTTGTGTGTGCCGTGTGCGCTTATGATGCCGCTGTTTGTTTTGAAATGCCGACCCACGTGAGGGAGGAACGCCGCCTTGACTGCCGGTGAACGGCGAGTCTTCCATTCCTCCCGTGCCACCATTACATCCTCGGACGCGCTTGATGGTCGACGGTTGTAACGCTGCCACGTGGTTCTGTCTCGGTTCTTGTGTGTCTTTCGCGGCATCAAGAGTGCTCTGTGGTAGAACCATTTGGTTGCAGAAGCGGTGCCAATGGTCATGTGTCTTTTTGCTGGGATTCTGCCACTCTGCATGGTGGTTGTGTGGGGCTGCGTGGGCGGTGGGAGGGCGGTGACATCACTGGGCTGACTGCGTCTGCGCTTTTTTGTGTCGCTGGTTGTGCTTTGGTGGGGACTGTCTGTGACCGGATGCCTCTGCGTGCCAATGTGCTTAGTTACTGTTGTTGCTTCCTCTTTCTTTTCTGACTGTGCAGATAGAGCTATTTTGGCTTGACCAGCACAACTATCGTTTCAAGGTGTTAGGGATTAATCGCTGTATTAGGACTAGTAGTGGGATATCGATCTATCGGAATAGTGTCTCTTGATTTGCCATTTGTAGGAAGGGATTTGTTGGACAGGAGCTACGGTCGACGGGGCGAGTGCGACACACCACGACAGCTCTATTGATATCTGATTGGTTTGTGGATGTGGTGTGCGGTGGGTGCGTGTCCGCGCAGCCGGCACCGTGTGCGGCGCATGGCCATTGCGGCTGTGCGTGTGGCGCTGCTCGTTGCGTTGGCACTGGTTGCGGCGGCGGCGTGGATGCCTGCTGTGCATGCGGTGGTGTTGCGACTGCGGGGCGGCACGGTGGACAGAGCCCTCACGGTTGGCCGCGCCGTGGACACGGTGCTGATGGACGGCGTGTACATCACGAACGGCGTGGCTGTGGTGTTTGACGTGCCTGCGATGCTTCCCGGCGCGCTGCGCATTGAATTGAGGAACTGCGTGTGCGACGGCGGTGCGCAGATCTACGTGCGGGGCTACAGCGGCGAGCCGGCGAGTGACCGGAGCCTGGAGGTGAGCGTGAGCGGGCTGTCCGGCGACTACTGCTCGCTTGTGTTTGTGCACAACCTGCCGGCACACACGAACGTGACGGTCCGTGACTCGACGATTGTGACGGCGGGGCCGATGCGCTACTCGCAGCTGAGCGGGCTGACGGACGCGGTGGCGTCGCCGCTTGTGCTGCACGTGACGTCGCTGTTGCAGACGCAGCTGCGTGTGAGCAACACTGTGCTGAGGTCGTCGCAGGCGGGCGGGTCTGCGGTGTACGTTGGCGGCGGTGTGGACCTGCTGTCGAGCGCGGTGGTGCTTGACGGCGTGTTGCTGGAGGCGTCGGGCGGTCCGACCGCGTCCGCGATGCATGTGGCGTCCTCGTCGCGCCTCAGTCTGCGGAGCCACTCGGTGTTCTCCGTGACGAACGTGTCGGTTGTGAGCAGCGGCGGCGGCATTGTGCTTGGAGAGCACCTCGAGGTGTTTGATTCGGTGCTGCGCTTTGTGGGCGTCGAGGGGTCTGTCGCGTCGTCGCTGGTGCGCTGCGACGGTGGGACGGTCGGTGTCGGCGGGTGGCTGGAGCTGCGCGACGTGTGGGCGGTGGGCGAGGCGTCGTCGGTGGCGTCGCTGTCGGGGGTGACGCTGAGCGGCGGTGCCGTGTCTATTGCGCGCTGCGCTGCCACTGGCGCGACGCTTGTCTCCGGGCTGACGATCACGAGCGGCGTCGTGTCGGTGCAGTGCAACCGTGCCGGCGGCCGTGCGCTGCGGAGCAGCGGCGACTACCGCATGGCCGGCCTGCCCTCCGTGAGCGTGGTGCCGTGCGACGGCTGTGCGGCCGCGCTGGCGTGCTTTGATGCGCTGACGGCGTCGTTCTCTGACTGCGTGTGCAGCTGCCGTGCCGGCGGCGTGGGCGAGGCGTGCCTGCCGTTCGACGTGCCGCCTGCGAGGGCCGGCGGTGGTGGTGGCGGTGCGGAGGGCTGCGTGAGTGGCGTGACGCTGACGGAGTCCGTGACGGTTGGCGGCGGGCGTGCGACGGCGTGCTTCGACTCGGTGGTGTTCAGCGGGCCGATCACTGTGGCGGTGGACCTGCGCTTGATGGACGCGTTTGCCGACGCGCTGGACGTGACGCTGCGCCACTGCGTGCTTGAGGGTGGCGCGCAGCTGCGGATTGGTGGCCTCAGCGAGAGCACGGCGCGCCTGATGCCCCACGCCCTCGTCAACATGACGAATGTGACGTCGCTGGAGGGCACGATTGTGCTGCATGGCGCGATGCCGCTGCACTCGAGTGTGCTGCTGGCGAACTCAACGCTGCGCGCGACGGTTGGCGGGTCGCAGTACGTGCCGACGACCCATAGACACGAGGAATTTCGGTACGGCCCCGCGCTTGTCCTGGACGGCGTCCGGCTGCTGTCGACGCGGTTTGTCATGACGCGGTCGACGCTGGTGTGTGGCGGGGGCTCGTGCGCTGCGATCCTCGTGGAGCGCGGCTTTTGCGTGAACCTGTCCAGTGTCTTCTACATGGACAACTGCGTTGTTGGGTCGCGGGAGCACGTGATTTACGCTCTTGCGTCGGACCTGCGTGTCAGCGGCGGCTCCGTGTTCTCCATACAGAACAGCTCGTGGATTGCTCCGAGCACCGAATATTATAAAGGCGCGTGTGTGTTTGAGGATGTTGTTGTGGATGGTGGCAGCGTGCTGCAGATTGTGTCCAGCACGTTCCGTCTCGGCTTCGCCATGCTCATTGCAAACACGCTGACTGTGACTGGCGGCAGTTGGCTGGTGCACCGCGACAACGAGTTCCGCACCGCCTACGTTGTGTACGTGACAGAATACTACGGCATGGTGTTCCGCGATCGGAGTGTGTGGTCGATACTTCACAACAAACTCACGTACGGCTCGTACTCGTCAACTATTGCACACATGACAAGCAACTGGCCACCACCATCCGACTCGCGCCCGATCATCTACGGCATGTGCAACGAGCTAAGGGGCTCTCCTGTGACGAATTACGGAGAAGAGCTCAATATTGGAGCACCCGTGACGGTGTTGGACTGTGGCGCGTGCACTGTGGACGCTGTGTGCTTTGCAGCGAGGACGAGCAGCATCAGCGGCTGTGAGTGTGAGTGCGCTGCTGGCGGCTACGGTGACACGTGTCTGCCGGCTGCGGTTCCGGACGGTCTTGGGCCGCTCCCGCTGCCCGACGCGAAGGACACGGAGGTCCGCTGCGTGTACGGTGGCAGCATCAGCTCCGTGGACGATCCTGATCCCGGTGTGCGCGGTCTGTGCTTTGTCAACGTGACCTTCACTGCCGCGATTGTGCTGGACCTGTGGAGCTTCGACGCGCCACAACAGACACTCAACATCACGCTGCTGCAATGCGTCCTCGTGGGCCTGTCGATCAGGGGGAGTGGTGCGCGCGTGCACGTGAACGTGACATCCTCGGTATTGGATGCTGGTGAGTTGGCGTTTGAGGGTTATTTTGGTGCGAGCTCCCAGATACTGGTGGTAGGCAGTACGTTTGTGACGACGTCGAGCCACGCCATTTTATTTTTAAAGGTTTTTTTTTGGGTGAACTCGACGCTGCTGCTACTTGACAACCGCATCGAGGGAAATGTTCACTCAATTAATTTCTTTAGTGTTGTTGTTGATGGTGGCGGGATCATTGTGAAGGGGAATACGCTGAGGGTAACGGAGGAGGATCACGGTGCGGAATCAGCCTTTTGCGTTTACGCTGTTGACGTGAAGAACGGCGGCTACATTGACGTGGAGAACAACACGATGAGGGCGGCTAATGGCATTTATTTTTATGAGGGGATCACCGTGAGCTCCGCGGGGCTGCTGCGAGTGGCGGACTGCGCCTTTATTGGCAGCACGAAGGTTTCGACTTCTGCACTGGTGTATTTGTATGGCTCTTTGACAGTCGAGGGCGGTGCGCAGTGGCGTGTGGAGGGCAATAGCGTGAGTGCAGCCTCAGTATTAACTATTCCTTATTCCTGGCACGAAATTCAGCTGTCAGGCAGCGGCACTACTGTGGCGCTTGCACACAACCGTCAGGTGGACTCGAGGGCTTTCTTCACCAATTTTTTTCCGTCGAGCATTGTCGTGACGTTACCCCCGCGGTTTGTGGTTGGGTGCAACCTGCAGGACGATGAGGAGGTGTCGTACGACGGTGTGTTTCCGGAGGACGTGGTGGTATTCGGGTGTGGCACGTGCAACGACGACGCGGCGTGCTACATGCCAGGGACGGAGTCGGTGGACCGCGGCTCGTGCTCGTGCAGCTGCAAGGACGGATGGCATGGCGCGTCGTGTCTTCCCTTTGAGGTGCCCGACACGGTTGTGCCGCCCGTAGCGGAGAGAGCCGTTGACGGCGACACGAGCTGCGTGGTGAACAAGACGCTGACGAACCTCACGCTGAACATGTGGAGGTCGCACCACTGCTTCATGGGTGTGACGTTCAGCGGCGTGGGTGCTACGCTGACGTTTTCATTCGACAGTATGCCGCTGCATCTCCCCATCAACATCACGCTCACTGGGTGCACATTCTGTGGCGGTGCCGTGCTGCAGTTTGTTGGGGGTGCTGAGGTGGCCGAGTCAGCCGGCGTCCTTATCCGCGTGAGCCGGACGGTGATGCGGTCCTCTGTCGTTGTGTTTTCACTTGCTCTCCCGCAGCACTGCGACATCGCCGTCACGGAGGTTGACGCGGTGCAGACCCTCATGGTCGAATTACCGGGCACTGTGAGCAGAATGCTGAGCGTATTGTTTTTGAAGAACGTCTTGTTGAGTGCGTCAACGCTGCTGGTCAGCAACGTAAATGCGCGTGCAACGAAGCGTGATGCGTTTGGTTTGTACTCGACCGGGACGCTGACGCTGGTGGGTGGCAGCTCGCTGTACGCGCGTTACTGCAGCTTTGATGGGTACATGCATCTGTTGTATGTGTACATGCCGAGTGTGAGTGACCACTCTGTTTTTGCGCTGCTCAACAACAAAATTTCCTCCGGGACAAGCCTGCTGTATCAGCACCAAGGATTGAGC